ACAATTTTAGATGTAGTGAACTCGTATCACAGTAAATGTTATACCATATTGTTCTCATTATCATTACTTGTAATGCACTCAATGCACAGTAACTAGTCAACTTATCGAACAGTGTATCTTTCACCTACTTGTCATCATTATACATTTACTTATAGTGAACATATCGGACATTAAGACTTTCATCTCATTTAAAACTTTCTTCTAATGACATGATCGCACAGCGAATATTTTTAGTTCATAGTTATTTTTATACACTTAATTCTAGTAAACTCCTATAACACTAGATTCTCTATCTGATTTTTACCATTTTGAAATTACTTGTAGTGGAGTATTCGCGCAACAGATGTTTAACATGATTGTTATTACAATGTTAATTATATTGAAATAATTGGACAGTAAACATTTTACTTAATGTACTTAATTGTATTTACGTTATTGTAGTTTACCAATAATGAATTTATTGCACGTTAATTCTCTTATTTTATTATTACCATTATTAGGTTACTTATAGGGAACCCATGACAGCATAAGTCTCTTTATTCTTATTAGACTACTTTTAGTGAGCTCATAGCACAGTAAACATTTTACCTTGTATTTTCATCATAATTGAAACCATTGTGAACTCATCGCCGTGTGAAACTTTTAATTTATGCTTATTATGATACACGGACTTCTATTGAACTCATTTTCTACCATATTCTTACGGTAAGATTTCTTCTAGTAAACGCATCTTACTTAAAGTAAGTGTTTTTCCTTATTGTGATTATCATCACACTATTCAACTCGCAGCACAGTTAAAGCTTTAGAGCATTGCAATTTTACTTATACTGAACTTATCGCAAGATAAATTTTCAGCGTATTGTTTCATCAAATTTCTTGTACCGTATTTATCGTACCTCACTTTTGTTATTGTTATTATAGTATTTACAATGAACTCATTACACCTCAACATATACTTCTTCATTCTTATGATTTTAGGTATACTTATAGTAAACTCGTGGCACATCAAATGATTTTTTCCTTGTTCATATCATTAAGATTACATCTAGTTAACTAATCACACATTAAATACTTTGCAATATTGTTATGATTTATCTTTCTTATTATGAATTCATTGCAATGTAAATGTTTGACGTTACTGTTTTTATGACAGTTTTCTCACACAAAGATTCTTACAGTGCCATGATTCTGGTATCACAAAAAGTGAATCAAAATAACGTGAAGACATTGAATTACGCTTTTAATTACAACAAATGGTGTATGAAATATTTTCTCTGTGGTTGGTTCACTATAACTTTACAGATATTGATAGAAACACCATCACTTGTAATGATCTTATCGCAAAGTTCTTTACCTTACTGTTATCATGGTATGTTTTTGTCAGATTATAGCACAGAAAACTTTTAGCTTATTCTTAACACCATGAATTTATTTATATGTGAATCATTGCAGAGCAAATGTTTGACCTTATTTTTATCGTTCTAAGATTACTTATTCTACTGAAAGCACAGTAAGTATTATTTCTTACTATTAACATTTTGAGATTAATGATAGTGGACTTTCCCAAAAACAAATGTTTCACCTGATTATTATTATAAATATGTTTAAAGGGAAGTCATTGTAAATTTTACTTCATGATTATTGTAAACCCATATCATAAACCCATTGCAAGGTCAAAAGTTTTCTTTTTTCTTTGTTATCTCATGGTTACTTATAGTAAAGTCATAGCATAAACAAAATTCACCTTATTCTTGATTTTGCAACTATACGTATTTTATCTTAATGGTATTATTCTAAGATTACATCTAGCGAACTAATCGCACAGTAAATGTTTTTCATTTTTGTTATCATTAAATATTTACTTGTAATAAACTCATCGCACAGTAAACCTTTTCCTGTATAACTTATCCAACAGTAAATGTTTTAACAAATAAATGTCACTGAATTAGCTTATAGTGAACCAACCACAGAGAAACTATTTCATTCACATTATTATTATAATTAGATTACTTATAATGAAGTTATCGCAAAGTGCTTTACTATTATCATGGTATGTTATTGCCAACTTAAGAGTAATTGTGTTACCTTATTGTTATCACTGTAGTATTTCGTACAAATGAATAATCCTTCAGATCTTCATCTATGATTAACCAAAGTCATACGCCATTCATTTACGGATCTATTAGGAAAATTAATTACGTGATCGTGTTTTCACTGTCAATTAGATTTTACTTCAACATTTCTCCTGGTAAGAAAGTACCTTGGAACTGGTATTATTGAAGCGATTTGTTGATCGGCTGTTCTAGCGAATTTTAAATAATTAACACTTAATGTTTAACAAATAAATAGGAAACTTAACATTTATGTGCATGTTGCCAAAAGTGCTTGAAAAACAGAGCTCTTAGTAAATTATTGTGTTTGAAATTAATTTGGGCAACTCTGTAAGAACGATGTTATAAGTAATCATAATGTAACAGTGATGAAAATATTTATTGTAAACATATAAATAATAATTGGGTAAACCATTTACTGTGCTATTAGGTCATTATAAGCAAATTTTTATGTTAAAATTAAGGTAAATCATTACCTTTGAGATAATTCCACTATAATGATTATAATTTAAAACATAATGCTAAATATTTATGGTGGGTAATAAGTTGACAATTAAACACACCAAGATGATATAAAGCATTTCATAGTTATTGTGCTGTGAGTAGAATAACTAATGATAAAATATGTGGTGTTATTTCCTACAACAAATCCAGTATTCTTGACTACTCAGAATTGAAACGTCTTTTGCGTGAATAGTGAATTATGCTTGTCACTTGCAGCATGTTGGACATTGGACTACAAAATGAGGGATTCGCTATGTTTGTTTTCGTAGTTTGTTAAAGTTCCATTTTAATTTCACCAAATCTGTTTTCGTTTGAATATCCCCCATAAAAGGTAACGTCACAACTTTCTAGACATGAAGTATTAGTGATAACATTTAAAAACAACTTGCAATATAAAGATAATAGTTCCATTTTGTATATGTTTATAATATTTGTATTAGAAATAAAGATTAAGCTGCAATAATATAATGGATTTTTGACCGAATATCTGATTGCAAAAGTGATTGTACCTTCTAAAGCTTCCAAATGATAAAAAAATTGTATATGCTGGTGAAATTATCATTCTTATCAAGGGTGATCCTCCACGCAGTGCAGTGTTATTCGAATACCTTCACAATTCTTTTTAACTATTTTAACATCAAGCCACGGAAAATATATACCATTGGTAACTTTCGCAAATACTTAATCTAGTATTTTATATATTTGTCTTACTTTTATAGCAATATTTAAACCATGTGAAATTTCAGAGCTTGCTACCTAAAATGGAGCAGTTTCTGAAGTTAATACTAGCAAGTGCTTTTTTTAGTAGACTATAACTACTTATAAAAAAAGATAAAAATCAATCCTTACACCTTAGCTACACAACTCAAACATCTATTATAAAACAAGAATTAAAATTAATAAAAACTTATTAATATGAACGTTATACCCTTGTTTAAACTTGTTACATAGTCTTACGTTTATTACAATAAATCTGTGCTTTATACTACGCAGACTTTGAAAGTGTTAGCCATGTCAATGGTTTAATCGTACAAAATGATCACGAGATCTTTCTATAATAGTTTACTTGTAGTGTTCAACTTATCAAGTTTAACTAATTACATTTTTAATCAAAAAGCGTGTAAGTTATAGAATATTTATGATAAAAAAATTTAACTATACATTTAACATTAATAATGGCTGAAGACGGTTTGAATGGGTAATGAAGAAAAACGTCAATACAAGTTTAACATAACAGCAAATGTTTAACGTTTCGACAAGGTTTTGTCATCATTAGGTACGCTATTTAAGTTTATTTTATCAATATTTCGTAGCCATGAACCATCACGCCAGGTGTACGATTAATAGAATGTTGCACTACTCCTAGGTTTCTTCAAATATTTTCTTAAGACCCAATAGTAGTTCAATACATTATTGAGGAAAATTAATTAGTTATTACCGTTATCGTATTTTGTTACACCCAAGCACTCCACCTCATGATAAAATGAGGTTTTGAAGGCCTTTGAGCGAAAATGTTAAACGGAGTGTTTCATTTAATGAAATTATTAAAGTTTTTTTAAACAGTTTTTTTTGTATGAATTGTTTATTTGACTTCAAGTACTACTTAATTAATAGGTGCCTCCTATATTTCATCAGTTTCATATTACATATTTTTTCATGGTGTTAAACTAAATGTACCCGAGATGTAATGAATTTGACGCTAAAGTAGTTAGAAACTTAAATTTCCGTTTAAGTAATAAGCGAAATATAAAACCTTATTTAAGATTTTCTAATTTACACATGGAAATGACTAAGCCTTGGAGAAGCAAATTCATAGACTGGAATTTTTGTACTCTGTAGACAATTTCCTATTTTTTTCTTTCAAATCCATTATTAAACATTTGTTAAGTTAATAATAAACTACAATCATAAACTACAACTATTCCAGTAAGACTTGTTTAACAAAGCCTCTCGCTCTTCAACTATTCTCTCGCCTAAAGTAATCAAAACAAAAATGGTATGAAACGACATCTAAGTTTCTAGAAAAATAGATGACAATACAGCTGAAGATGAAACCGCCACGAAGAACTCTTCTCTTAGACCAGGTTTGATTTTTAATTTTTCTTAAATTATTATGAAAATTTTTATTACACTTTATACAAAGTATCAAACACTACCTTTAAAATATTTTACAAAAGTTTCAATAACAATAGCTGTAATATTTATACATGTTCATTCCACGAAATGTGCATACAATCACGAAAGTTCGTGGTGTGTAATTTAAACGTTCAGTAGTTTCCTAATCCATAGAAAGACGTCAGAAAATACGCGCCAGGTGTTCGTATTCAAGCACAAGCAGCAGCTCCAAATAGCACCACTAGATTACAATAAATGGTTCGCAACGAATATGTTCTTCCAGTCACTATTGAGCTTCTTACAATAAAACGAGAAGACTAACTTGGCAGAACCAGTGGAAATTAATGCTCACAGAACAAGGTGTAAGGGATCACTCAAGCTGGAATACAACTTCATGTAGTCTTGTATTAAGACCTTCACCTACATAAGCGAGATGTGTATAATTTCCAATATTTTAAAGCTTTGCTTAGAGAAGCTTTATTAGAGAACAAACTTCAAAATTTGAAATTTAAAACTGCAAATTATTACACAATAAAACACTGATCGGGTTAAAGTTCATTTTCACTCTTGGACCAAGAAATTAGTTACCACTTTTATCGCAGGCAGCCAGCTAGGATTCAATTGTACCTCCACCGTGTAAGTCATACGTCCAAACTTTTAGGTTCCCTAGGTCAAGATGTTATTGATGTTCTTGGTACCTGTTTTGAAGTCTAATGACCGATTATAAAATACCCACCCACCCCCAAAAGATATTTACTGTAATTGCACTAGTTATGAATGACAGCACACTAGTAATTCTAGATGTTTACTAAAACAAAATTAAAATTAGCACATTTAAAGACACCAACAATTGCAGCACATCATTTTGTAAGTCTTATTGCCCATGGTGTTAATTTAGATAAAGCTCTTAAGCTTAAGACATTATACCACAATAGTTCGTGAAACACTTACGCGAAAAAGCTTAGCTACGAAGATCAGTACCAGACTTCCATCTTGGTTGTTCAAAATCTTCAGTACTTTGTGAAGAAGTTATTTGGTGGGTAAACACCTTTAGTAATTTCTTTAGGACTTCCAGGTCTTTGGTGATCCTACTTTACAACGTAAGAAAGTTAGCTCCCCCCCAACCCCACATTAAGTACATTTATAGCACATCTAATACAAGAGTTCCTATTAAGAAATAACATTAATTTTACTTACACACAACTAAATAATTAAATTGGTTAACTCTGCACTTCAAATATTTGAAACTTCACAACCTCCTACTCCACGTTTATCGCGAACCATTATAAATTATTTCATAAAAAGTTGGGATATTTTACTTTTAGTATACTGTTCAGTTTAAGAGTATTAATTAACCAAAGGCTCTGAACTAGACCCACTACACTACGAAATAAATTACCAATTTTTTATATATGAATATGCACTCACGTTAAGTGATTTAAACATAAATTACCTACTGTTTTGTATATGAAGGGAGTAGCTACTTTCATTGTAACATTTACCTAGGTTCTGCAGTTTGAATCCTGCTGAAGTCTGAGCTACAGTTCTTTCTATATTATTGGTCTCTTTTTGTGGAAGATTAGCATCATATCGGTCATGTGCAACGATCAAATTCTCTTATTACAAAACAGTAGGTAATTTATGTTTAAATCACTTAACGTGAGTGCATAGAAAATGGAATTGATAATCCCTAAACAGTTAATAAGTTTTTTAACGATGCGTAAATGTAACTGTTTAAACATTTAAACTGCTGATTTAACCTAAATTGTCATCCTCTAACAAACGTCGATGTAAGTCGTAGTCCGAGTAAAACTTTCTACATAGCTTTAAGGTACGAAACTTTGGGGTGGGTGGGGGTGGATTGGTTTACTGTTCTTTCAGAATACTTGAATAGGTTCAGCACCGTGGATAAACGTCATAAAGACACCACATAACGAACAAAACGATGCCTTCATGTTTCGTCATTCTGAAAACTTAGTATGCAGAACGAAGAGGAGTGTAACTACTTGGCCTTACATGTTGCAGTAAGGTAACGTTTTGTGTTACTGTAAACTGCCTTTTGCTAAAGCATTTTCACTAAATTTTCCTGTCAACCGTTTTTCATTGAAACTTTCGCTTATCCATAAGGTATAGGAATTAAGAATCTTCTAAATGATCAGCTAATAATAAGCATTACCTTTCTTGAAAAAGATGAGCTTCAAAGTGTTCTGCAAGATTACCCTGCGTGATAAAATATAAAGTCCGTACTTTTGTTGATTAACACTACATTTCATTTTCATAATGGGGTGACCAACAGTTGTTTATAGATGAAGTCCCTTTGTTGTTTTTGCCAGCCTACTTGAAAAGAAAATTCGGTTGACCCATTCCAAAACCCCTCATTAAGATCTTAAATACAAAACGAATTACAAACCTTACGTAAAAAGATTACATCATTATAATTTCTAGACTGAAACAGATAAGGAAATTATAGCAAATAGTTTGGATCAATTGCTAATTCCTTTTAATAGATAAATCAGAATTTAAATAGTGAAATTATAGTTGTTTTAAGTCGCTAGTCAACGGCATGAAAGTTCCTCGCTAATGTAGTTTACCTGTTACTAGTCTTAGTCCATATAAGAGATGTCAGAAAAGGATTCATAAAGTATTAAAGCACACGTTTTTCAAACACTGGACAACATGGCGAGATGAGCATTTTCTTCTAGTCCCGATTAAGAAAATTAACATTGAGAAGGCGTACAATTGAAATAGAAGCAGAAGATACTAGTGCTCAGAGTTAAATATAACTTAAAAAGTTTCTCATACTGCAGTCTTCACCTGTACAATCAAGATGTGTACGTCTAACAATTTGAAGATTAGGCTCTTGTTGGGGCTTTAGAAGTTCACTAGATCTTACTTTTCCAGCATCTTCACCAGTTCGTTAAACACGTTCAGTTTATAAGCCTGTAGGAGTACTTTACATCCCGTTCTTTACCAGACTTGGTTCACTGTGTAAGAAAAATACATACACACCCCCAAAGGCATTTACATAGTACAGGAAATTTGAACTTTTACTGTAAATAAAGTTCTACTTTTATGTAATTTAAGTGCGCTATCAACCCTACTTTAAGCCAGCCACGAAAGTTACACTTCATATTAATCTTAAGACAATACACTCATCCGTAAACACATCAGTTTACGGCTTAAATAAAAGTATTAACCAACCAAAGCCTTGTAACTAACCACCATCCATCTAATTTAAACATGCACTTAAGCATAAACGACTGAAAGCAAGGGTTACCTATTGTTCTTTTAAAAAGACAGGATTTTGCAGCAGGTTGCACATGACCAATTTGATGATAGGATGGTTGATCTTCCAGAAAGATACAGATCAGTAGTATGAAAAAACGACTGCAATTTCGACATCAGCAAGGATTCAAGTTGGAGAACCTGTGTAATATTGCTACAAGCACCAACTCCATAGTAACAGTTTTGCAAACACTTCAAAATGTAAATTTATTACTTATGAAGTTAAGACTACTGCAGCACATGAACCTTTAAAGGAAATCAGTTCAGAAATACAAAACTTTACCTTACTGCAGAATTTGTTTGAACTACATGTGCTCCTCTTCGTTCGTCATATTGAGTTTGACTGACGATACAGCAAATTGCGGACATCCTAGACATTTGTTCATTATGTGGCAAGCTCTTACAGCCCTTAAATTGGAGATTCTTCACTTTGCTGAACCTATTTAAGTAATCTAAAGGTTCATGTAAACCACCACCACTCCTACCAGTCCAGTTTGCAAGGAAAGTGGCTTATGTCTTTAAAATACAGGACAGTTAAGCAAGCTTCCATAATATGTTCAGACTAGACTGGAGTTATGGTTATTTGTCACTCAAGCTTACACTTAAAAAAAAAGTAACAAAGTTTAACAATTTCATCCAAAGTTGAACTTCATATAAATTGTTTTGTAATTATAGCAGGCAACAATTTAACATTCTATTGAGAATGAGATAACATGTGTAATTGATCTAAGAATGAGCTAAAGGAGTGACGGCCAGAATAAGTTACCTTTCTTCCAAAACTAGGATCAGATGATCGTTCTTCTACGACTGCCTTTTGTGACGAATGAAATCCATACCATTACAGCACGTTTCATTTTCAAAATAGGGTGATCAACAGTTGTGTATAGATAAAGTTCAGTTCTGTAATTCTACTTCAAAGAGAAGAGTGGGGTAACCAGTTGAACCTATCTAAAAAAAACTATAAGATTTCTTTTCCCTCCCCCACACACAAAAACGTATTCATAAAACACGCCCAAGATAAAACAAAATAAGACGATTTCAAAATTGTTCAAGTACTTTACATACAGTTAGTATTAGGTACGAAGTTACTAAAACCTTCATCCAAGTGGACCCACAGTATTAGCAAGTCAAGGAGTTGCAATTTATGGTTGCATTCACGAGCAGCTTTGTAGCTATTAGTTAAATGTAACATATTAAGCAACAATAGGCATCAAGTAAAAAAATCCCCATATAAAATAATTCTTGGAAAAATAACTTTTCTTACTGCATCAAAGAAAGTTTCAGTTTCTTTTGAGAATACTCACTTAAATATCCGTTTTTTATGTTACCATTAGTTACTAATTAAGTTCCTTGATGGTATAGAACTGAAGTCCAAAATTTATATCGAAAAAGAAATGAAATGGCGATTTGAAAATTAAGTCCTTTCCAAGTACAGGGATCCCTTATTTTCTAATACATCTACCAATATAACCATTGGACATGTGGCAAAGCTGGTATCGTAAAATTAAGCTAATGTCACGTATTACTATACGAATGATTATTCTTGACGTTGGCATATTTCGGTAGTTTACCGTAGACATTAAATTAGGAAGTTGTATTTATCAATAACCAAGATACCTCACCTAACATACTTAGCAGCGTTATCTTAACATTATTATATATAATTTTTTTTGAAAAAGTTAACCATAGTCTACTTTTTAAATATTAACACTAACAGTAATTCCACAATCTTATAATAATAATAATAACTAAATCGACACTAATTTTTTACTAGGTCCTGCGATAGTTAAGCATCACGGAATTTTGGTTTTTCAACAACGCATAAGTAATATTCTGATATGTTCACGCGTGTTATTTAAACATTTGCTATACAAGAAATGGACCATTTCAAAATTGTTAGAAAACTTATCTAACGTAATGGAGATCATCGTTTCCGTTGCGTTATTTCTGGTTATTCTTCAGCACTCTGCCAAAATCTCCTTAAACTTCTCCACGCGATGAATTACTCGACCTTCTTTTCTACAATCTTCCCTTTCTTCTAACACCATTTCAGCTACCTTTCGAATGTACGCCAACACCACGCGCTTGGCAAAAGGAGCCTTAAATAGCACTCGTGGGCCTTTTCACTGTATTCTAGTGCGAGAAGTAGAGAACATAGTTCTCACATTCTGATACAAAGTTTTAATATTATCACCTTAATCAAGAATAAAACATATTTAATAGTAATAAACGTTTATTTTTATTAAAGGTTTAAAACAAATTGTGTAAAATATTTATTGAAAGGTTAAAAGTACATTCTGGAAATTTCCGCGGAGGTACTCACTCATCTAACACCTATTATTTAACCTTGTATTGCGACATAATATTCCTTAGCGCCATCTACCATCTCGAATATTCTTTTGAAAAACAAAAGGAAAATCCCGAGGTATTATAGCGCCATTTACCAACACGAATATTCTTTATACAAATATAAAAAGGAAAATCCTGAAGCATTAACTAAGTTTACGATTTTCCCAATATATAAGTATGAAATAGTTAAAAACTGTCTTTAAAGATACATTTTAATACATCGACAATTTAGAAATATAACCAAATATATTAAAATCTAGTTGTTGTTAAACTATTAGTTTGCACTTTGTTCTTTCATATTTAAAATTACGAGCAAAATTATTCGTGTTTCAAATATTTGATGAAATTAAGAATTACAACTCTAACTCCGTCAATGAGTAAATGAATATGCTTTTAAAATTAAAGTTTTCTTGGTAAAGTCGGGAAAGAAAATAATAGTACTTTTATGTATTTTCTGGAAACGTACCTCATTATGACGAAACCACACAAACAAAGATTACAATTGTGTATGTGGTTGTAAAAATTCACCTTATGACTATACAAGTAATTCTACAACAGGCTCTTATTTTTTTAACCATACAGCAATGATTTCAAATATTCTTTTTAGTACAACTGTATTCGCTATTTCTTCCCCTCCATATTTTTTCTCCGTACTGAGCATCTATTGTTTTATAATCTGTAATGATATATACTTACCTGCAAAGATACTATAGTATATATCCTTACATCGAAATAAAACAAAAAAGGTTAATTATCGTCGATTTGATTAGTGTAATAATTTATTCTTCTTCAATAATTTCAACATCAATGCGTTAGTGATGACAAATAATTTATTTTAACAGACATATC